ACCCACACTTTTTATGAATACATACGATGCAAAAACGTTTCATATATTAGTTTTTGTAGATTTTATTATTTCAACAGTATTCGTATCGATTACTTTTAATTATTCTTTAATGTAGAGTAATTGGTTAAACTAATTTGAAATTGATCTATTTTTTATTACACTTTATTATATAATTTTAATTTTCCTATGTTATAAAACTTACTTTGAAACAGGAAATAGATTTAAAGTTCATTTAATAAGTTATAATAAAGTTATAGTTCATTTGATAAGCTTTTGCTTTAATACTAGCAGGAATTCAAAACGTTTTAATACAAATTATTATTTTTGTATTGCATCAACTACTATTTTATTTGATATATTTACGGTGGTGTAAATAATTGAGTAAGGATTTAGAACATTGAATTCTTTATTTATAATATTTTGTGAATTGTTCTGAGTTTGTTAGTAGATTGGCCACAATGAACGTTTAGTAAACAAATATCTACTGAAAATATTCATAACGATATCAGTATTTGTTTAAATGATTAACTTGCTCATATTTTAGATGCAGCAGTATACAACTAACTATTAAGTGTCTATGGTTTTTACACAATTGATTAACTAATATCATACGTAAGAGTATTTATGGGGGGAGCAGCTAGTTGACTATTAAGGCGCAGGGATTCGGTCCCCAAGGTCCCGGGTTCGAATACCAACAACCACCAATTGTTTCCACCCATGTTATAATGTCACAACCCTAACCTAACCTAAACTAGTTTGAATTAATATGGTATTAATTGGTCCTAGAGATCAGCATGTGAGAGTGTTAGAGAAAAATACAGCTTATGGTGGCATTTAAACATTAATAAAATAATTATCACCTATTATTAGAAAAAAAACTGTTGAAAAATAATTTTATTTTATATTCAAACAATGTAATTCTCAAAATAAATGCAACACGTGTATGGAAAGCGGAAAATGTTTAAACGCTACCTTTTAGCTTGAAACTTCCAAAGTTGGAAAGTGATGCTAATGAACGTGGGTTAAATCGAATTTTCAGATGAATTAAGGCTTCGTTACTCAGATTGGGTGGTTAATGATCACCAAACTTTGATAGGGAAGTTTTGTAAAAAGCCGCTCAAACCCACTGGGACTTTGCGTCTTGTTAAATATTAAATCCAAGAGTTAAAACTTTACTGCTTACCTGATTAATCTTGGTTTTATGTAACTTCAGCTGGTTCTTCGTTAAGTTTTTAACGAGATGTAAAACAAGTATGAAAAGAGACAGTTTTTAGTGAATATAAATGTGTATTTCTGGTTTTATTTTGAAATTATTTTCGCTCATTTTCATCATTTTGGTAATATAGATAGGCCACATGTTTGGCACCAAAAATTATTTGTATTCTTAAATATAGAATAAGGTGCAAATTCAAATGAATCTTAACACAGTCAAGCCATTTGGTAACAAAATTATTCTTAGCTCTCTTTTTTAAAAAATGTGTCATAAAATATATTATATAAGATGCATATTGAATTTATTGTTTACTATAATGCCAGGTTAGAGCCAAATTAACATAACAACCTTATTTTACATTCACATTTTACAAATAGTCCGAAGTAAAGAATGTGAGTTTAATTTTTTTATTCTAAGAAATGCTGTAAGCTAAAATGAATAATACTTCAGTAAAAATATTCCAAAAGTTTGTTGACACAAACAATAACTGAACAATGTATATAGATTTTAAGAGAACCTGAATCTGTTTGCTATTGCAAAGTTGTTATCCTGCTTTAGATGATTCACGTACTGTATTAATATTTTTTATGTGCTCTAAGGCAAAATGCCTGTTCCACAAATCGAGTTAGATTTAGTTTTGACATGCCGGATATTCAAATTCAACAACACAGTTCTGCGTTTGACAGCGTGGTAGCATGTTTAGACATGTGACATGTTGCGTTGGTGGCCAAAACCAAGCAAACAACTAAGTTTTGATTGAACACATGAAAATAAGTAAAATGTTATTATGTAACATAAATATCATACAATTTCAAAAAAGTGTATTTAAGAATATACTCTCGATCTCAAAAAATACACACCATAGTGTACGCTGTACATGTATTATTTTTATGGTGATGACAAAGACAATAATGTACAAAGGGATTGAGAGAAGTAGCTTACATCCTTAAAACATAATGGAGATTTTAATAAGTTCTTTTGTTTCAAGTACATTGCTCGGCTAAGTTTGGGTTGTAAATGACTCTCATGGTAATTTCCCATGAACATAATTCTTAGCTCAACATGCGTAAAGTTTCCAAGTCAAAACTGTGATCCTGTCTTTAAGTAAGAAATAATCAGGAAGACGAGAAGATTAGTACACAATTTATTTATTTTATGGTTACACCATTTTTACAGGGTTGACATGCTGATATTGATACAATATTGAAAGATTGAGTTTAAAGAACAACAAGTAATAAATGAATGCAAGTGAAATGTGAAAGGAGCCTAATTACTTAGCCTAATTAAATTTGCTTGCCTTCTGCCTTTTTTCATGCTTGTTTACTTTTTTTAGTTATTTTTCAGAATTTATTGTAAGGCAGATAAGGGACTAGCATCGCATGCTGATGGAAAATACTTGTTTGAATAGCAAGCATAACAATAGATATAAATTTGGTAACCATAACAATCGATAACATAATACAAGAAAACATGCGACTAGATAACAAAAAAAGATAATACATACGTCAATAGTACATGTAATAGCAATACATGCAATAGCAATTCATGAAACATTAAATCTATACACTGTCATCTATACATCTATACATTGTTTTGTGCACTTTCATTTTTCTTATGTACATTGCATTTATTTAAGTAATGAAATAAAAAACGCAAACGAAATGAAAAAAAAACTTATAAAAAAACGCGTTCTATTACAATACGATAAAAAATCAAAACTTAATAATTTATTCTTTATTATAATACATTGTACATGATTTGCATAATTGTTTATTGGTTATACTGGGTAAATCTAGAAAGTTGTCCATTGTTAATTTCAGACAAACAGTTAAACAGTGATGTATTCCTATGTAGGGAATAAGCTATTGTCGTAGGTCTCACGGTAAGACCTAGACCCGGGACCGATTTACTTTTTCGTTTTAATGTCCCCAGAGGCCTGATATTTTTTCATTATATCAGTAATATAGCTCAAACACAAATACATCTGAAAAGTTCTGATTAATAAAACTATGGACACTATGATTTAATCTACAAACAACATACAAATCAACAATAATGTGATTTTCCTAAAAATTAATCTAAACACTTTCGTTTAAGAATTTCTACAAGTGCATATAATTCGTGTCACATTTAGCTCCACCTTAAATCTCTTTAACTAATCTACACGTTTTTAGATCTAGTAAACCGAAACTTCAGGAAGTGTGGCAATCGGAACGAAGAAAAACTAATCAAAGCAGCAAAGAAAGTAACAGCTGGTTACAGCTTATCACAGAAAATATAGAACTGTCTGGAATACGCAAAGCGATATTTTTCTTTCCGTAAAATATTGAACCTGTCTTCATAGAAGTTAAAAAAATATATTAACTTGTGAGATGTATGATTTTATTTTTAAATTGATTGAATACAGAATATTTAAAGATGAAAAACTAATCTGCACAGTTTAGTTTGAATAAATATGGGTTTAACATACGCGTATTTAAAAGGCCTTATTTACAAAAATGTACGGCTTTAGGGAGTAAGTGATAGCCTGCATGGATTACAATACCGCAATCACTTTATTTTAAAACTTAATATCAAAGAACTTACGTATATGTTTTTTGTATAATGTATTTTAAACAATTTTGTATACTATATGGATGATTTCTGATTCCCATTGTGAACAACCTTTTTTAAATTTTCACATCATGTATAATATCACTGTAAAATGAATATTTTGTTTATTTATTTATTTTTATTCAAGACGAAATCGTCATTCAAAATAATTAATGGGAATAATTAAATGGATGGAAAAAGGTGGACTAATTTCACAACGTAAATGAAGAAATAAGCAGACCAGTTCAGTCGAGGGCTTGCGTAATCGTTATAAGCACAAACGATTTATAATATTTAATTATCTTTAACAAAATGTAAAAAGGTAAGTTGTTAAAAACTAATTACACACTCAAATTATTCTAACCACTCTTTTATATTAAAAATTAAAATATAATTTAAGCTATTCATAAATGTTGTGACATTAATTACAATGGGTTGCTCTTGGAAGAAATGTTCAAAAACAGTGTAAGTTAAAAAACTACACTTAGCTACTTACTAATAGGCATTACTAGGTATTACTTTTAAATAATTTATGTTGTTTATTTATTCCACGCTAATGCCATTTGCAATAGGACATACAGTTATAACTAATGTTACTTAATTGGACAATTAGATACTTCCAATACATTTTCACAATTATTTTGTACTTCATTGTTGATTTATTGCTTTCCTAGTCAAGATTATATTTCCTGTTACCAATGTTGCTCTGATCCTGCCAATAGATTTAAGTTAGTTGTTAAGTTTTCTGTTAAAATGCATGTTGTTACCACATAGGCTTCTTGTATCCACATTGTAGATCTGTGATATATTGCCGTTGGAATAAATAAATAAATACATGGATTGGGTTCAATAACAATGCTTTTATTGCTAATTATTGTTCGTTGATCAAAATTTGAATAATTAATATGGTTGGATTGATAATATATATTATTTTAATTCCAAAATGCAAACGTTCTACACATAAATACATATTGCAATGACACATTTTAAAATCACAATGTTTCTACGTATTTTTAAAAATATTGGCAACAATGAAATCGTTGTAACGTCGGAGCTGTCAGCTGATAAGATGACAGCTGTAGTTGCAATATCCGTCCGCTAGTAGCGCTGCGCTCATTCACTTCTCCAATAGATTATCATTCATGTTTAGTCCGGTGCGGTGTCTGGTGTCGTGCGGTCGTGCGTTGTACTCTGATTGGTCCGTCGTGCTTACGATAATTTTTAAAAGTGAACTATAAAATCTTTGTTGTTTCGATTTGTGGCACTCATGAAATTACATATTTTGTCATATATTTATTGGTGATATATGAATTTATTATTGGGTGTTGTGATGTGTTTTTGTGATGTGATGGCCTCTAAGATCAGGATGGCAATTTGGATACGAAATATTATAAGGTAAAGTACGTTTTTAATCATGTTTTATTATAATCATCAAATTTTTGCTTATTTTTTAACAGTTACCGTATTGAGGGTTTTTTGTGATCTGGCGGTTACAAATGTTTGTTAAATTGCACACATTTTTTAAGAGTAATTAGTTATTTTTTTTATTCCACGGAGATGCCATTTGCAACAACAATATTATACAGTTCCCTATATAATCAATAAATAGTTACCATATGAACCGACTACAAGATAAGATGACTTAACTATTAAGTTAAAAAATTAAGTACATTTACAATATTGTTTTTGGGAGGCATAACAATATAAAGAGAAAGTATCCCTTATTCATACGTTTAAATATTTATACCAAAGACCTGATAGTAGTTGCCCTATCAACACTATATACATATCCTACTAAGCCCTACTATTTTAACATTTTAACGATGAATTGATGAACGGCACTAGGTATCAATAATGTGTAATATTCATATAACGGTATAACTATTCATTCCTTTAAAATAAATTTAATTTATGTGTGCGTCAAATACAATATAAAATGGTAAGTTCCTGTAAATGATACATATACTACAACTCTGTGTTTATTCGAGCTATGAATGTGAGTAAATTTCCTGTGTAAAAAACGCGATGTAGTTTAGTTACGTTGGGTGGTTAATAATCAATTTAGTTTTTTTGAGGAATAAATACTTTATTGTTTTATAATGGCAATACAAACTTAAAAATATTACTATATACTATATTATTGGCCTTACCTGTGTGCTTAACACATGAAATTTCATTATATCGCCGGCAAAACCTTAAACTATGCCCAAAATTATTAAGGTTGATTTTAAATATCACCAAACACTTTTTGAGTTTTTTATTTATACATATGTAAATGTTGCCATGTTTAAAGATTTTGTAAGCAAAAATTGTTAAAATGTGTTATACAGTTCTTTTTAGACCCCACTGTATTTGTATAATTTAATTATTTACAGGGAACATACATTAAGGATGTTTTTGCGATGTTATGCACCTTATTACCTTCTTTTTCACCGAGACCAGTCACGTTGGATAGGTCGTGTCTTTAAAAATGAAATACTCAGTGACACTTTTATATCTTTACTAGGCTCTATTTACTTTGGTATATATCTATGTTCACTTGTGAAGGTGGTCAACCCTTTTTTTATTTGGTACTTCGAAATCATCGTTGAACTAAATAGACGTTCCCCATAGATCATTGCCCTAAAACTCATTGACTAAATAGATCGTTGCCCATGTCTTTAGGGCAGTGCGAAATTTCCTCGTTTCAAGCGTTTTTAGGGCTTGGGGTTAGAACCCTAGAAGAGCCATGGTTGTGAAACCTTTTTTTGTTTGTTTTTAGAGCATTCAGAAGGGAAGGTCTATTTCACGAATCATCTGGTATGTTCAGCCGGGCTGATTTCGTCTGTTCGTTGAATAATCACTGATTACAATAGAGACACATTATGTGTCTTATATTATGCAGTTACATATTGTACTTATATCGTATGTTATACATTCTTATATTCTCCTGAATTTTTAAGGTAATTATACTATACTTTACTTATATAGTAGTTTGGCCTATAGTTAAATATAAATCAGAAATCAGCTTAGAATATATTAAATTCAACTAATTTATATAGTAGACTGCAAACGAGGTTATTTGAGTTTCATGGAAAACTTGATTTTTACAATTCAATAGTTACTCAATGCTACAGTTAATTAAATGCATTTACTGTTTTATGATTGATTTCAAAGGCGGATAACATTTCAATGGCAGACACTTGTCACACTACTGTACGAGTGGGTATTTGCGAGTTCATAGATTTTTATCAGGTTTTAATTTAATTACCAACGAGTACCCCGACAACACGTCCATACTTTTCTGTTACAATCTTGTTGTATTTCAAGTATTCAATATTTCATTTTATTTTGTTCATAGTAAAAATCCAATTAGTCTTTTTATTACTTACAAGGAAAATACTATAGTCATCTTTCCTATAATAAGCCACCCACATAAGAGGCCTAGGTAGATCCCTTGCTTAGAAATATAATTTGGTAATGAAGGTAGGCCTAACTGTTATAGATATAGTAGGGACATGTATAGTTATTGATACAGATTTGGGGCTTCAATTAAATCAATTTTATTCCACGTTAAACTGGTTGTTCAAGTAGTATAATTTAGTAATCTGTTTATCTGGTATTATAGGACAAATATATATAAATACGAGAATTTTTACTTTTGAATGTTTAGACTCATACTTTTAACATACAACTATTGTTATCTGTTGTTGTTACTGAGACATCCTCAATTTTATTTAAAGGTACATTTCAGGTCGTTACTATTTATAATATCCTATTCAGTATTAGGTCGTAAGGCAGATAAGCTCTACTCAAACTTTTGCTAAGCCATTTGTTATAACAGAGAGCCGAAAGTGCTTTTTACTGCCTACGCTGCGAGACAGCTCAACTTTTTGTTCTAGCGATTGCTTAGATACCGCTTCCAAACATCCAACTAACTTTCCTTTTTGCGTTTGCAAAGTTTTACTTTGGTATTGATAGTTATAGACATTGTTATTGGAGCTGAGTAGTCGTATTGAATTAAATTCATTCTGAAACTAGAGCGTACTGATTTGTGTCTCAGAAATACAATTCTTACTTGTAGTTCTTTTTGAATTAAAATATTTAAACAATATTAAACAAAATACTTAATTAGCCAATGTTAATAATTTTATTTATCAACAATTAATACTATTTTGCTGACGTATATTAAAAACACAATTTACACAAAAAATTTTTTCAATTATTTAGGTTTAATATTGCATGAGGCAGTTGATGTTTTGCGTACCAAAATGGTTGGAGTGTTTGACTTTAAGTACGAATTTTGCTGTTTTCAATACTTAGGTTCAAGCTTCAGCATTGACTATACTCAGAATGTTCTTGCCATGTAATGTAATATGATGCCAGGAAAATGGAAGTTCAGGGCCATCTCACCAGGGGGTGCTAGTGTATTGGATTAAATACTAATACAGATCAATGCAGTATGCAGTATCCTTCAGGTGGCTCTGAAGGACCATTTTATGGGCATGGGGGAGTGAGCTGGTCTAGTGGTTAGAGTGCGGGATTTCAGTCCCTGAGGTCCCGGGTTCAAATCCCGCCAAGTGGACAAATAATCCAAAACAATAATAAGCAAATAATGGATCCAAAACAATACACACATATTGGATTTTGGGGGTCTAAGTGATGATGCCGCAACCCCTAGGACTAGCCTGAGGTAATGAAAAACAATTCGTGCCTAGCGTCTTAGAAAAAAGCTGTATCATGGCAAACAGCTGATTGATTTATCACTTCATACAGAATATTTTCATTAATTGGTAGACCATATCAACAGATGTTGCTTAAAATGTCTAATTACATGGGAAAAGTCAATGGATAAACCCAGATTACATTTTGCTAGGGGTATTCACCACCTACGTTATGCAGTTAAAAACAACTGCAGGTTTCCATCATAACCTTAACAAAATTTAAAACCTAGTGACGTTGAAATACAAAAATAGAAATAAGTTCACAAATTGAGTAACAACGGATCTTTTATGAGACTGATACCAACCGTCAACCTTTAAGAGTTGACATTTGTCACGCTACATTCATTCTACAGCGTAAATTGAACATTTTACGTATACATAACATTTGAAAACGCACTTCTAAATCGGTATTCTCAGTTTTATTTCACACTAGGTATCATGTGTGCACCAAATATGGCTAAGGGGCTTCAACACTTGGACTGTTGACACTAGCTAATGGCTATGATTGGTGTTTATGTTCATACCACATGTGTAAAGATGTAAAACACTACGAACTAACTAGTCGTGACATCTCTCTCTCTCTCTCTCTAGTTACTCTGTCCTCTTCTACTACACTAGAGTTGACGTTTGTGTACTTGACTGAAATCAACAAACATATCGAACCAAAATATAAAAAGGTAATTTCAACCTATTGAGCGGATTTAGATATTTGATACTTATCCATCTTACAAAGAACCTCTTCAGGTTTAATAGTACCAATTCCTTGTATTTGTAGCCAATTAAACAGTAATCCGTAATAACTAGGCGTACAATGCAGTTGTCTGCTTGCAATATTGAGCTGAACTAGCATATTAATCCCATACTTTTTTAAAGTCAATGCTACTTCTGTTCCTCGTAAGTGAGATTAAATACTTGCTGTATCCAATGTCGATGGTATATTTGGTTCACTTAAATGGAATGTCTATTTGCAGTATTCTAAGTCAATTATAAGTCTGGTTCACGTAAATGAATTGTCTACTTGCAGGAACCAAAGTCTATGTTTCATCTGGTTCTCATATATTAAAAGTCTAATTACAGTATCCAATCTCAATGATACATTTGGTTCGCATAAATAAAAGTCCTTCTTGCATTATCGAAAGTCAATGGTAGGCCTACGCCTGGTTCACTTAAATTGAATGTCTATTTGCAGTATTTAAAGTCAATGATACGCCGGGTTCACGTAAACAAATTGTTTACTTGCGGTATCCAAACTCAATTGTAGGTTCACATAAATAGAATGGCTATTTGGATTATTTAAAGTCAATGGTGCATCAGCCTTATTCCGGTGACCATAATTATTGGTTATTCATTTTGTAGTAAATTATGCTCAATGATATTAATCCGATTGTTCTTCCCCTTTTCTCTGTATGGTATTTGTAATGTGCTATTTAGATGATTTGTTGACTAACATATGTTGGGACTCTTGTTTACCTTGTTATTGTTATCTCGCAAATAATGTCATGGCAACCAATTGACCAATAAGGCCCATGCTAAATTTCTTAATGTTTAAATTCACGCAGGGAAAAGCTCTGTGGTACGATTTGTACCATTTCAGATTTATACCTTCCCACGGTCGATTAATATGATTGTGCTAAATTTGGCGCAGATCGCTTTAGTCGTTCAGGAGAAGTATTTTTGTAAAACAAAAGCAGG